CTGAGTGTTACCTGGTGTTACCTGAGTGTTACCTGAGTGTTACCTGAGTGTTACCTGAGTGTTACCTGGTGTTACCTGAGTGTTACCTGAGTGTTACCTGGTGTTACCTGAGTGTTACCTGAGTGTTACCTGGTGTTACCTGGTGTTACCTGAGTGTTACCTGGTGTTACCTGAGTGTTACCTGAGTGTTACCTGGTGTTACCTGAGTGTTACCTGGTGTTACCTGAGTGTTACCTGAGTGTTACCTGAGTGTTACCTGGTGTTACCTGAGTGTTACCTGAGTGTTACCTGGTGTTACCTGAGTGTTACCTGAGTGTTACCTGGTGTTACCTGGTGTTACCTGAGTGTTACCTGGTGTTACCTGAGTGTTACCTGAGTGTTACCTGGTGTTACCTGAGTGTTACCTGGTGTTACCTGAGTGTTACCTGAGTGTTACCTGAGTGTTACCTGAGTGTTACCTGGTGTTACCTGAGTGTTACCTGAGTGTTACCTGGTGTTACCTGAGTGTTACCTGAGTGTTACCTGGTGTTACCTGGTGTTACCTGAGTGTTACCTGGTGTTACCTGAGTGTTACCTGAGTGTTACCTGGTGTTACCTGAGTGTTACCTGGTGTTACCTGGTGTTACCTGAGTGTTACCTGAGTGTTACCTGGTGTTACCTGGTGTTACCTGAGTGTTACCTGAGTGTTACCTGGTGTTACCTGGTGTTACCTGAGTGTTACCTGAGTGTTACCTGGTGTTACCTGAGTGTTACCTGGTGTTACCTGGTGTTACCTGAGTGTTACCTGAGTGTTACCTGAGTGTTACCTGGTGTTACCTGAGTGTTACCTGGTGTTACCTGAGTGTTACCTGAAACTAGAGCCTAGAGCTGTGTTGTGTTGTTGAACAACACAACACAAAGCACGTGATCCTACATGCGACATATTGTCCAGCAGGTGTATTGAAAAAAAATGTAAAAAAAATAAATAAGCAAAATGCTTAGCCTCATGGGGGCAGTATATTTGTTCTTTAGCTTAACTCAATGCTTAAATTAGGTTTGACTTCAGCACCATCTCAAAGCCATTTAGACATCTTTTTAGAGTATGTTAGAAATGTTTATCTTTGGAGACACAAAAATAATGATAATAATAATAAAAGAGCAACCGTCTTTGAAATAGTTGCTATATTTTCCGTGTCTGGTGAAATCAGAGTAGCTGCGATACATCTAAAGTGCAGTTTTACCCTCGCCGGGCCCAAACAATGTCAGCTTTATACAGACATAACAAGCTGTGACCTTGCATTTTGTCACCACATGATGTCTGTTACAGTTCGTCCCGTCTCTGGAGTCACTGGCTCATCACTAATGCTGCTGCTCATAGCGACAGCCTCATAAGAACTTGACTTCTATTGTTAGACAAAATAATAACCCAAAACAAACTTTGCTGCCCACAAAACCAGCAGCGACAATTTGTACTACTTAGTCACCAGTGTCATTCTTTCTGTCACTAGTGCATCATTCATACGGAGGGATGATCTCTCAACATCAAAGCAGCCTGGTTGCCTCTGGCTGATGAATAAAAGCTACAACACAGAGTCTAAGACTGTAGAGAATTGGTGGATAATGCTGGATGTAAGCTGTAGTTTATCTGCTATAACAGTGTTATACTGAAAATGCCTCCATTAGCAGGATTATCACCCACTGTTATATATAAAAACACACATTTTTGATAATACAACCCTATGTGCAGTTTTTAGTCTTTAAAAACACAAGTGGGCATCTTTGTGGTTTTCCGAATCAGATAAGTAATATGTGTTGCGTCATCCTTCCTTTGAAAGATGACGTAACTTTTACTTTCTTAATATTCTAGTAATTCTGCCTGTTGCCAATTATCTTCATCAGATTTTGGTTGAACACAAGTTTGAATCCACTTCTTGTCTAATTTTCTTTTTTAATCGAACCTTTGCAACTACCTCCCCTACTCCCATTGAGGCACCTGAAGTGAGTCAGGAGTTTTGAACAGAGACACTGGATTTGTTTTCCCATGTTTTTTTTTTACTAATAAATCAGTGGCTTCTGCTTGTTTAAGTCGAGTTAATTCGTCTGTGGAAGTAGAACACTGAGTTGGTGTTCATAGACTGCGGTATTTCCAAAAGTTAAAACGGCTAGCTTAAAAACCGACTCTTACCTTCTTCCTCCTGATGTGTTCATTGATTTGATCAAATTGCCGACTTTGCCGGTGGTCACTGCTCATGATTTGTACCACTACATCAAAAACATGGTGTCCCCTTTCACCGGAGCAGACTTGAAAGTTTAGAAGAAAAGTCTTAAGATATTGTTGCCCATCATCTCACAATCCTCCATGTCAGGATGCTTGGTGGTTTTTGTGTTAAAACTCAGACAAATGCCATTTGAAAGTAATAGTGTGCGAGGCCATACGGAATTGGTTTGCACCTCAGTTCAGTGCATCAACTACAAGCCTAGCTTAATTCATCTTTACTGTCACTGTTACTGGTGTATAAAAAAAACTATTTAAAATAAACAACGCTTAGCCTGGTGGCCCATCATGCTTATAATCCACTGGAGGAAACCCTGCATGTAGATCAAAATTCTTAGCAAATTAAGATCTGTAAAAGATGACAACTACAGCCTGGTACAGCTTTCGGATCTGCTCTGCTCTGTTTGATGTTGGATGACTAATATGTCCCAATAAGAGCCTGAAATATGATGAACTACCCACATCAGGTTGGGAGTTAGAGATTGTCCTCGAGGAGATCAGTGTCTGTATGAGAGGCAAGGTTAGAACGTCATTGGTTTTTGTTTTAGTCCGTTATTTTCTTATATTTGGTGTTCTGTGATGCTTTTCTGGTGGCTTCAGCTACTTCGCAGCTGCATCGTCGTTTCAAGTCTCCACTCCTTTCCTCATTAACTCACTTGACTTCATCTTATAATCACCTTCTGCGGCACATTATCTCAGGGTTTTATTTTCCATTTCGCCACCGGTTGTCTGTGTTCTTGTCATGCTGCTGTTCACTGGGTTGCCAAAAAGTTCAGATTCGTTCCTCAACTTACTGCAGCTCTAAAATTAGCTACAAAAGCAGACATAGGTGAACTTGAGTTGTTTTTAACATTGCTTCTTTAAACAAAGGCAGTAGTAGATGCATTTTCTGTCTTCTATACTAGGATGATCATTGCCTTCCACTCAGGTTTTCTGGCACTTACAAAATGTGATTTTTGGTTATTTTATCTAAGCCAAAACAGAAGTTGTGTCTAATTTAACTTCAGGCAGTGAGGAAAAAACATTTTAGTATTTTTATTCAGTGTATGTAAATATCTGGTTTCCGCTGTATATTTGAATAAATCTGGTATAATTGGGCTGAACTTATGAATTTTCTTTGTCTGTGATGACTTCAGCTTTGATTCAGTGCAATAAAAGTAAGCAGATTAAAATGAAGCTGATCTGAATTGCAGCTAGACATCACAGAGGAGGTACCTGGGAAGGTTTCGGAACATGCAGTACCTTGAGTTAATGGAAAGACTGATTAGATCTTCCATGCTAATTCCACAGCAGGCAGAAAGCTCACTCAGTGTTAGAGCTGCACTAAGAACAGGGAAAACAAATCCCGTCTGATTTGATGAGTTACAATTTTCCTTGCATGGTTATCTGGCTGTATATTCATCTTTCCAAGAAATGTCTTCATAGCTCAATGAGTAGAATCAGCGTGACCGTTTTAGCTGGCGACTGTAACACCTTTTAAAACCAGAGGAAGTCATTCCCAATTAATTTTTGCACATTTTGTCACAACAAACTGGATTTTATTAGCACTTGATGCTGCAGACCGTCGTCATTCTTCCAATGATTTTCAATTCTTGCCACCAATTCTCGACTAAAATTAGGTTTAGACTTTGACTGGGTCATTCGCACTTATATGTTTTGATCTAAATTGTTCCATTGTACGGCTGGCTGTTGCAGGCTTTAATAGGTTTTCTTCCAGTATTGACCAATTTTGAGCTCCATCCGTATTCCTGTTACTTTTTTGATTTCCTGTCCCCGCAGAAGAAAAGCTCCTTCACATCCACATGCTGTCGTTCTTAAATCAATTTAAAGTTGTGGTGGAACTCGATTAAAAAGATTTTCATTGAGTTCAATGCAGGGTCTGTAATCTGTCGCTTTTTAATCGAAAACCAGATATCGACAAAATAAGCAACATTTTCGATTCAGAAACCTTTTTGCTGGTAGTCAATAGACATTTGAGTTCAATAGTAAAGAAATGGATTGTTTTTAATCTGTTATTTAGGCTATTTAACAATCAGATTGGTGCAAAGTCCTATTATTCCTATGTAGTTTTCCAGTGTTTTGGGAACTCCTGATCATTCATGGACCTTCATTAGAAATATGGACTGTGGATGTTGATATTAACACCATGTTTAGCATTGAGATGCTTTTTAGGCTTTGGTGATAGGCTAACTCCTTTAAACACAACTTACGCATGACACTATTTTCTAATGTCCAATCAAATTGCGTTTTGAGGCAGAATTCTTGGACCTCTAGAGTCCAATTCTGGGGACTACAGTTGGGTAAAGTTTAAAACTTCAACAGGGTTTACACCTCTATCAAGCAATCATTTCTCAATACTTGAGAGTGTAGACCTTCTTGATTTAGCAAATAAGCTTAGGACAAGGGTCTTTTTTAAACCAGACTAGACCCTTCTGGATGTGCTGTGACGGTGCAGGGGTTAACCACAACCCACATATCGAGGCCTTAGTCCTCGACGCAGCTGTTGAAGGTTCGATTCCCGGGCTTGCGACATTTGCCACATGTCTTCTCCTTCTCTCACTACCCACTTTCCTGTCAACTAACTATCAATAAAGGCCACTAGAGCCAATTAAAACAAAACAAAAAAGACTAGATCCCTCTCAAAAACTTGTCTTTCTAGAGCTACATGGTCTCTTCATAGTTGTTCTGGTCCCTTTATGAGTTGGTTATGTTTTGGCTCTTCCCACAGCTTCTTCCTTTTACTTACTCAGACAAATGTTGTCATGGAAAAAGGCCAAGAAGTCATTGCATTGTTCCCTCTGGTTGCCACTTGCTGCACAGGAGCACCACGGTCCCACGTTGGAAGTGGAGTTGTCAAGGTAGTTGGGAGTTATTGTGCTTCCTGCAACGGAGGGAAGAGAAGATGAGGTGGATCTGGATTTCTATGGGTACACTTGAGCAAAGACAGATTCTTACATCACCAGGTCAGAATTGAGCCAATAGGATGCAAGTCTCAGCACAATGAGTATTTAACATTCTTAGCTGTTTCTTGCTATGTAGGCTTTCCCAGTCATTGGTTTGGTTCCTACAGATTGGTCGACTACTGTATGTGTGAAAATGAAACAGGATGTGCAGCTTCTGACACAACACATAAAAATAACAGAGGAGTCGAACGTCAATCTTGTTCTACATAGGCCGATTAAGACTTCACTTTGATTGTAATAATCAAATAAAGCAATTTCTATCATCACACAACACTGGCCTAATCAGGTTTAGATGGAGATGTTCATTTGCATGTAAATGTGGTCATTCGGACGGACAGTGAGAGGAATTTAAAACTTGGGAAAAGATAAAGACATTTGCACGAATGTCTGAGATCAAGAAGTAGTGAAGAAAACGTTCTGGCAATTTGTTCTGGACATCTTCGGCGTCTGAGTGTGGCTAGAGACAGTGAACTCGAGTGTGATAAATAGCAGTTATGTTTTAACAAGGGGGGCAATCACTTTTTCACACCGGGCCATGTGGGTTTGGGTATTTTTTCTCTCTCAACAATAAGTATCTTATTTTACAAACTAAACTTTCTGTTTACCTGTGTCGTCTGGAATTAGGGCTGGACAAAATGGCTGAAAAACGTGTCATGATTTAAAAGTTTAATATTAAAAGGTCAATATTGATAATTGATTAGTTATTTTGTTTAAAGTACCTGAAATACTGCCAAACTAGTGACGTGACCTTTCTTGTTTTATCCAGACTTCACTCCATGCTGCTGTGTTTATTCTAAAAAGAAGTTATGAAGCACTGTGTCATGTTGCCAATACCTATTATAGTTAGGCCTGGTATTGCCTTATGATAACTTCTTTAAACTGAGTGGTTTCTAACAATCTTCTGTGCATTGTGTGATCACTTGTTAACTTTAATCCAAGGTACAATAGCCCCGTTTTAAGCTTCTGTGCATTTCACCTCATCATCATGTTGGGGATAATTCTCTTAAAACAGCAGTCAATAGTTGTAATTGCACTACTTTATAATGCCGGTGGCTGTGCACATTAATCAGACCACCATCGATCACTGAGGCATCACAATCCTTGATTCATTCTTTTGAGTCGTGTTCAGTGAGCTTGACAATTCTGAGCCTTTCTTGGCATAAAAAGGCCCCTTGTTTGATCCAGATCTATCACGGAGGCTGGTGCGAGTGAGCAAGAAGTGAAACCGAAAGGCTCGGTTCTTACCTATCAAGCCAGTGTATGCGAGTAGACATGATCCATGATTCTCCCTCTTGCAGCCACTGGCGCTGTGCTCGGACGCTTCGCAGTCATACTGGAACTGTGCCCAGCGGGACCTGCGGGAGCAATAACACGCCATCCATCACTTGCCGGCTGCTTGGCCGCTGCACTCATTGTGTCGCTCAGTGGTCTCGAGCTCCGCCGCTTTCTCCTAACAACGGGATGTAGATCTAAAACCCACAATGCTCATCTAAATACTTGTACTCCTACATCAACTCCCTCCGCTCCGCAAGAGTTCCCACTCCACAGCACTTCCAACCCATAATCCAGTCACCTCTGGTGACATTCATTCCTCCGTTTCCGTTCTGGACACTCTTTTTCCCTGGCCTGTTGTCTTCTGGAAGGCTGCCAGACTGTAAAGAGTCAATGAGGGACACAGACAGGCCTTGGCTCCGCTCTCTAAATACCGTTGGTGTAGAAGACACGCCTCCCTGCCAGCCATTGTTGGAATATCAGACGGATCTGGATGCTGCATATGAACACTTCCTCCCACGGTCACTTTGCCCTTCCCTTCCTTACTTTTTCAGCCAGCGACCCACACCACTATCCACATAACTGTCATCATCATACAAGGCTATCGTGACCATTACATCGCATCACTGGCCACCCCATCCACTAGCACTTGCAGCAGGATTCCCTCAGGGAACCGCAGCTCTGCATCCTGCCCTCATTTGTCATGTCAATGTAATGATGTGCATAAAACTCAAAGGGCTGTGCAGTGAGTGAAGGCAGCCTCCACAGGCGGGCACTTGATGCCGGCTGACTGGAATGGGATTATGAGGGGGGCCAAGACGAGGCCTTGAGATGGTCCGTTCGCGGTCGGACGACACCTGATCGATAGCCATGACAGATGAAGTCCTTTGTCTTTTTGACATTTGAAAGGAGCCAGATTAAATGTTGGCGACGGTTTGCTGACAGAGAAAACAGACAGGACGCGTGTGAGAAGTCCTTGCTCTAGAGAGACATCCCGTATGCATCCTAATGACTTCATAATGTTGTTTGGATTTCGGATTCAACAAATTGTGATTCATTAAAATTTTCATGGCATCTAGTTTTCATTAGTACATCACGTAAGGCTGTGCAACCATAACATATTTTTTTTGCATCCATTTTCTGCCGTTTGCTCTCATGTCCAGAGGATGCCTCGGTGTTTAATATTTTGCGAGCGTCGAGAAAAACAAAATGAATCTCAAGTGATAAAGACACGGCCGCTTGTTGCTAGCTGTGTCCTTCAGAGAATGAATGCGGACTTTAATTGAGCTAATTAAATGAAGTTAACAAATATCACAACTGAGAATAATTAACCACAACTGACAGCTTGCATCTAAATGAACACATCACACTTGGCAAACCAATCTTTTAGGTTTGAATACAATTTATTCTCTAGCAGTAAATTGTCCTTCAATAGAGTCCTGAGCCTCTCATGACTTCCCTGTGGTCTTATTTTGCTTTAAAGAATTTCTGACCCAGTACAGAACAAATCCGGTTTAGGTCACGCCAGTCTGATAATTTTAGTTTTCCAGCTAAAATTATCAGGTGAGACCCATTGAAACTGTGTCAATGTGGAGAATCCATGCATCCCACTTCCTCCTCTGTGAAGAATGCTGGCTTCCCCACTATCAGTCATCCTCATGTACGTGCTACTCACACCCTTCCCCTTGCTGTCTGCTAGCCTAGGCTACAGCTGGCCTGCTGGAAATATTCAGTCTAGTTAGCAGGGCCACCAATGACATTGGATAAGCAGTTTTTCTGTGACTGTAAGTTGTTTCTTTGCTATTAGAACATTGAGTTGCGTGTATATGAGCCTGATTGACATTGCTAAGACCCTCCTCTTGTCTCATTATTTATTTTTTCCCTGACAGAGCAGTATTTATCTATAGATTGCTAGAACCACAGGGTGAAGGCCAAGGAGCTCAGTGTTTGTACTTTTCACCCTGTAAAAAAAATCCATATATTTCCCAATTATATGGATTGGGACCTATGGATTATTTTCCAATCCATATAATTTTTACATATTAAGAAATATGTAAAAAAACTTATTTCATAAGACTACATACTGCTGTTTTAAAGTGGAGTATGCCATCTTTATACAAGTTTTGTGCATGTTTGTTGAAATTATCATGATGTCATGACAGCATGAGACAGATAATCTATGACAAACATTCATCTCATCCTCTTCTTCCTGGTGCTACTATTTTAGAAGAAACGCACCAATCAAAACCAACCAATCAGAGCCCGGAGGAGTGTGTTAGCTTTTTAAATCATGCCTGTGTATGCGCTGCTAAATGTTACAGTGGCAGATAAGCAACTTACTGTTAAAGAAAAACTATTTATCCGCCATGATCGGTCGACATGCTAACTAGCCTGAGCATTCATCTCAGTCTTCATTGTTACTGTGTTTATGACAGAGCAGCGTGTTTGTTCAGGTGACAGCAGGAACATAAGTTCTAACATGTGAACAGGCAATCGGCAACTCTTAACTGAGTTCCAGCCGTGATGCCACGTTCAGGCAGTCTAAACACAAACACTTCCATAAACGGGCCCAACGACTACCTGCACACGTAGTCTTGTTTGCAGTCTCGCAGCTGAGCCAGGCAGTTGGGCTTTTCCTTTTCTTCGTACGAGCAGGACGGCACAATGGTTTGCCTGCGGCGCTCGGCGCAGGCTGTGTCGGTGCAGGGACAGAACAGCAACTCATGGGTGTAGTCAGGGGGAACGCGGTCAAAGAACTTCCTGAGCGCCTTGTTGCACTTTGGTCGGTTACATGGCCCCGAGCGGGCCGATGGCTGGATGCAGGCTGAGACGTACTCCGTGCGCAGCTTTTGACACGTCTCATCTATGTTGCACGCTTTGGCGGCATCCAGGCAGCGGTTCACAGTCGTTACCTCAGACTCTGTGGGAATGAAACAAAAATAACACACACAAACGAGAGGTTAAAAACAAAGCTTTTTATCCCTCTGCGTGATGCGTGAGAAGTTCAAATCCCAGGCAATGTTTACAGATGATTCCCAGACTTGATTGGGGCCGATCCCGACTCGCCACTCTCACACCTCCGGAATCGGACGCGGCGGATAAACCCATACAACTGCATCTGGAGTTAAAGTCCAAAACTGCTGATTATTTGTAATAAACCTCTTTGCGATGAATATAACATGAGTGGTGTTTAAATGCTGCATGAGCTCGGGTGCTGGATGTGTTTCAGCCAAGGCCTAATAGCTGAATATTTCATTCTGCGAGGTTAATGCAGAGTGGCAGTGGAGAAGAAGGGGTCTCTTCCATCTCTCCAACCACACAACAAGGTCTGTAATTACTGTTCCTTCCCCTTCATCAATCTATTCATCTATCAAGCACTTCCCCCTTTACATCTGGCGCTATCCCTCAAACCCCTGATTCTCTCCTTCCCTACCCATTTTCCTTCCGTTGTCATCCGTCTTTCTTTCCTTCTTTCTTTCTTCTTTTGCTCAGTTCCCTCTCTGTGTGCTCATCTATTCTTCCACAGCCTGCTCCATCCCTTCCTCCCTCACTGCCTTCCCTGTTAATGAGCCTCCTCTGTGGAGGCAGTGAAAAGCTCCCTTCACAACCGCTGCTGTTTCGGCCGCATTATTTCCCAATCCATCATCATGTGTTCATGTTTTCTCTCTCTTTCTCTCTCTCTTTTTTTTATTTTTCCTCCCAAGAGATTCCCCCCGCCCCCCCCCGCCCCCCCCGGACCCTACAGTCAATACTGCCATGATGACACTCAGCTCCTCTGGCAGATAGAGGCGCTCATTAGTTTGTTAAGTGACCGCGTTTGTGTCTCCAGGTGGATTTTACTCTGACTGAGCTGTCATATATGAAAAAAGGAGTGACCTTGAAGAGCGAGCCAACAGCCCGTCGCAGAGCACGGGTTACTGTGTTCCTGACTTAAATGCTCGGAAGCCCACTGGTTGGACTTTGACAAATTGTTTCCTAAAGGGGCGTTAATGGCAAGGTTGCATTGTGAATGTAATTTTTTGGTCATTATGGTTTTGTGCTTCTTAGGTTCTTTGGCAACTTTCTTCCAGCTATTATGACTGTTTATTCCCCCGAACATGCCGGATCAGTCGCTGTGTTGCCATCATCATGTAAAACTGCATGAATTTGAATTTCAAAAATAAATATTCTTCCTGGAAACAAGAAGAACATTTATTATCTCCAAAAAAAATACTCGAGTGAAAAAAAAGTTTCTGCGCTGGGATTAGGCGGTTTTACAGGTGTAACAAAATGTGTTGATTTAACAAAACTGCAATGGTTTTACATCAGTATTAGTTTCACTTTAACATAAAATAGGTGGTCTCACAAATCTTAACCATAGCAATGCCAGTTATTAGTTAAGGTTGATAAGCAGCCATTTTCTTAAAAACCCCGGTTTTCTCTTCTCGAGAGGACGACTGTCTCTTCATATCCTGGGCTAAATTTTTCATATGCTGAATTTGAAAAAAGAAGCTCATCCTTATATCTGATTTTTTTTTGTGTGTGTGATCTGTGTCAAATGCTGACTGAATAATCAGCAAGTTGTGGTTTTCTCACCTTAACAAACTTTTATTTCATCATGTTAAAATTTTTCTGCTTCTATGTTACCATGACATCCTCACCTATGCAGCACATTAGTCATTTTTGGCTGAGAAGTTGATGCCGCTTCGCCACGCAGCTCGACTGAATAAGCTTTATTTAAGATTAAACTGAAGGAACTTGTTGAGTGTTTATATTTCAAAAAAGAGCTTCGTAAAGTGCATTTTACGTCCCACACCGGACTTTATTTGGACCGTTTCTCTTTCCTGTTCTGGGATGCCCCTGTCATCCTTATTTATGTATTCACTGGTTCTGCTTAGGGATGACCAGCATTGCCTACTGCTGGATGGAGACCGCACTGCAACCCTGACAGGCCGTCAGTTAATCAAATGGGGAAAACCCCCCAAAAAACTCTAATAAACCATTAATGGACAATTAATTGTAAGTTGCTTAATTGTTTTCATCTCTAATTCACCCACCAAAAAGAGGCTGAAGAGGCTTGATACAGGGGTGGATGTTCACTTTTCAGCGAGACAACTTAGATCCAGAAAGAGGTACAAGAAAACGATTTAGATGGATAACAGAATTTATAAAATATGTACAAGACAAAATAATAGAACAGAATGCATGTTTATTTTCCACCAAAGTGAAAAGAAGTAGAAAACGTTTTAACTTACAAATAATAGACGGGTACAAAACTGAACCTCACCACAAAAAACAACACCTATCATCACAGCAAGAACAGAGCAGTTCAGGTGAGTGTGTGAGGGCTGCTTACTCTGCTGAGCAAAGACTGCTTGTTGACTTTTGGGACAAATAACTTTGTTAAAGACACCTGTAGCACAGTAACTCCTTCTGAACTTCATCTTAAAGTGAGGAAAAGACAGGTGTGAGCAGCCTGTTTATTTATGTTTTTCCTTCCTGGCTTTTTTTCTTGTCATGTCGATGCAAATTTGAGATGTTCCCACATATTACGATTCCCTAGACCCAATCCTGTTTAATCTAGGTTTGAAGACACAGCTCAGGTAACCAAACCCGCTTATAAAGACGCTCTGTTTTCTGAAAAGTTCAGCTGGCAGTCAGGAAGAGCCCCGAGACATTTACAATGCTCAGTAGTTCAGCTGCCTGTCAAGTGAAACTGGCTGGTGCGTCAGGTTTTTTTCTCTTCTGATCAGTTTTGTTTTCACTGTAAATCACTGTTTTCTTTTTTTAATTACAGCAAAATTCAAAATTTTCAAGTAAAATAACATTCTTGGTTATATTTTCTTTTACTTGCTATGTGATGGTCTTTTGCTGTATCTTTTACATACATTCTTATCCAGTGTCTGTTCTCCAACAGTAATATACATATTGTGATAGACACTTGGTTATTGTATCAATATTTAATACATCTGATAGAATATTCACTGAACTCCCAATCCAGAACCATACAGCATTCTGGGAGATGCAGGCAGAGAAAAGACATTAGCTGCTCTACCTCTCATGGCTAGCTTAGCAAGATTAGTGGCATCAGCCAACTTACTCACTTGTTGGTTACCTAACAACATCCCGTTGAGTAACTTGCACAAGTTTTGTCACCATTACTCATAAGGGCTAAAACAATGATTAAAAACAAAGCACACTTTAACAGAAACTGTTGACAAAGCAGAAAACGTCAGTTTGACACTATTTTAGATATTTAAATCTGTCAACTAATCAACAAGTTTCAATATTGGCAATTATCTATCAACTTATATGTCTGAAAAATATGACATAAATGCTTCAGGTTGTCCAGCTCTAATTTATCTTTTCTTTTCCCATGTGATGCTTCCTTACAGCGCATTGCAGCTCATTTTAATCCCAACTTGGGGACTTAATCGCTATTTGACTTGAAAGATAATTCTTCAGTTTTACTGCAGTCACAGAGAGATAAAACAAAAACTGTACACTTTCCTTTGGGTTGTTCTACAGGACTCCATGGCAACATGCACTTCCTTAGTGCTTAGTGAACTTCCTTAGTGATGCTGGATCCAAACAGCTGATTTCCTTATTGCTTTAACAAGCGACTTGTTGCATCAGACACCCAACACAAACCCAACAAATGCCGTATTTTCTCTCCAGCCAGGGAGCATGAAGTGTAAAATTCTTGCAAGAGGAGGCACAATTTGTAGCCCTCCTACGGGGCAACGATGCATTAAAGAGCTCCTCTCTGGGTGCAGGACATGTAATGTGTTTCAATAGACGCAGTCTCTCAATGCTACAGACTGTACTGCAGTTAGCTGATTAATTGGTGCAGGGTGAAGCACTGTGCTATTTGAATACTCTTCCAAATATGACGAGCTGCAGCTCGGGCTTGCATCTTTGAATCGGGTCATTACTCTGTTTGAGGGAGACGTGCTGTAAGGGTGGAAAAACATCCATTAATCACACCTCCGTTGTTTTGGCAGCCGACTTGTCGAGATGCACGACGTGGATGTCAACTTTGACCTCCTGTGTAGTTACAGGAATAAAATTTATGAGGAAGCGGTACAGGGCCCGTCCAGCCCGGCTGTAACTCAGAGCAGCGGAGGAACAACGGGTGTCATTCCAGTGAGCAGTATACGGATGAGGTGACAAAACATGACGATGGCTGTGGTAATGAGAAATTTGCGAGACCTTCAGGAAACTCTTTAGCTATTTTCATTAAATATCAGATAATGAGTTAGCTATTATGTTTTCATTAATTCAGGCAAAATGAACCAATCAACCCAAACCAGTCAGTGTCAGTCTAAGGAAAGATTACTTCTGAGTAGGACTGGACAATAAATCAATAACCATATATGTCGCAATTAACACGTGATCAATATTAGTAGATAGTAGATGTGATGGAATATTTAACATTTGGAGTAGTCACTGAACTCCAATCCAGAATCGCACAGCATTCTGGGAGATGTAGGCTAATGAAAGGCTTTAGCTGCTCAGCGTCTCATGGAGACGCCTCACACAAGGTTGGTGACATCAACTAGTCAGTCTTTGGTTACCAAGTAACAACCTGTTCAGTTACTTGTGGTTACCTAGCAACAACTTGAGTAACTTGCGCAGCGGTTTCAAGTTTTGCTGCTTTTCCTCATGACTTCTTCAAAATGAAATAATACCAGCAGTTTGGCAGTAATTCAGGTATTTAAACCAAAAAATTAATGAACAGTTATCAATACTGACTTAAATGAAACGCTAATACTTCTGAAGTATTCCAACCTTTTGGAAAACTTTAACCTGCCAATTGATTCTGATTTCTTCACAGCTTCGTTTTTCTGTTTACTCATGTTCTCATCTCACATCTACCTCATGACAAACTCTGCTTTGCCAAGGCAGCATCATGGTAAGGAGCACCGACTCCTTCCTTGATTAAGAAAAAAAAACTATACAGCACTGCAACAGAACTGACACAAATACAACTTACATAAAACATGACTGGGCTAAATAACATGACGTTCCAATGGCACGATGAGCTAAATTCAGATGCTTCACTGAAATCAGCAAGCCAAGACACTTAAAACTGAAATAAAGACTGACAAGAATGACTATTAATTTTGGAAATAAGACAATAAAAAAGTCTTTCAAGGCAGAGATTCTTCTATAGAAAAAGGAAAAGCAGAGCGAAATCAACAGCTAAAGTTATGCACCATGTCCTGTCCTTGTTTCCAGAGTACGCTCTCCATCAGAAAAGGGACGGGCTCATGAAAAACATCACACAGAGTTCAAACGCACTCTGAAAGGGTTTGTCGTTTTACAAACCTCCCTTATTTCCTTCAAATGAGTCGCATAACACGTCAGCAAAAGTGGCAGAAGACTATCACCGAAGCTTTACAGGGGATCCAGGCCTAAGTTGTGGAAGGTAAATCTCTTCTTCCTGGTAGTTTGTGCTGTGGCTACAGAGCTAAATGGTGTCTGTGTGTTGGGGAGAACCAAGACTCTGAACACATTCAGCCACATTCAGCCACATTCAGCCACATTCAGCCTGCTGTTTAGAGCAAAACACCCAGCACTTTTATGCTGTGGTCTACTTTCCTCTGATTCATTCTTTTTTGCGCTCACAAAGCTTTTCAAGCAGAACTGCTGTGCAAGGCACAATGCTGAGAAGAATTTGCCCCATGAGAGAATTCCTCTGTTTTTCTGCCACCCGCGGCATCAACAAGCGGCATTAAGTGTTGGAGACAATTGGCAAGCCTTGCATGGCTTTGGCTGACTCCACTTTGTAGAAGCTCCTTAATTCAAACGTATCGCTGTACGTTACATCGCCCCAGCTCAGAGCTGGTCGGGTTCATGGGATGGACAGTTCACCTGCCTTTCCTGCTGACGGAGGTCAAGCCAGTCAAGTGCTAGCTGAGCTACAATATAGCTCACCACCATCAACATGTGAATGAATGGCTGAATAACTGAATGCACTGTAAAGGGTTTCAAAGTCATCTCGACTTGATAAAGTGTTATATAAGTGCAGTCCATTTACCATTTAAATTAAGTCCATTCTTTGACTAGGCCACTCCAGTTAGATCAGAGTGTTAGATGTGATCATTGACCTAAATCTACCAACCTAACCTAAGCTAGGGATTCAAATTGGGAATGAAAAATAATCATATGTGGTGATACAGATGCAAGTCATTATTGCTCACTTCATCCACATCCTGACAAAACCACTATTTCGAGATTCAGGCTCCTTTCACTCCATTGTTCTGGCATCATTTATTGAAAACTTTTTTATGTGAAATCTTCAACAAAAGAAGCGTTTTCTCTCGTAATCTGTTTATTTAAAACACACTTCACAGCCCTTCTGTCTCTGCTTCACTATTTCAAAGCGCAGCTGATGTCGGGCAAACAAAAGCAGATGACTTTTGTGTCTCCTCTGACGGCAAGAAGTGAATGAAGCTTCTTACTTGTGCGGCAGACTTGCTCCTTTCCAAGTATTCAAAGAAATGAAAAGAAAACAGCTGTCTTATTACTTCTGGGTTTTTTTTTCTTCCTTTTGTCAATCTGATATTTATTTCTCCTTCGTCTTTCTGTCTGTCTGCTACCCAGTGTCTGTGCTTCCCGCTGCATTAAAGTAAATAGGTAATTAAACTGTGCCTCGGGGGCAAACAGCCGCGCACACCAACCCCACGGCTAGCCCACAGGCTCCGAGGCGAGACAAAAGGAGACTGAGGCCTGTAACTCATCAAACACTTCACAAAGCCACCTGTGTATCCACTGCTGTGCTCTGTCAAAATGATGGAGGATAACAACTGCTTCTACAGACTCTTCCTTTCCCTTGTATTGTTCCACATTTTCTCACATTACAGCCACAAGTTTTAATGTATTTCAAAAATGCATAATAATTTATTAGATTTTCTTCTTCTTCTTCTTTTTTTAAACTGTCTGGAGATCTACCAGAATGTGGCAAATTTTGAGTGAATGTTCGGTAGCCTGGTCACACATTAGTCCAAACCCTAAAACACACTGGTAGCTGCGTCATGTTGAGGGGATGCTAATTTTGCTCATCCTAGTTTTGAACTGTTGGTGGACTATTAAGTCAAGTTGATTTGTAAAGCACACTTCACACCATAAAAACATGACACAGTCACCGACAAGCAATAAAGGTCAAATTCAAATATCCAGCTCCAAACAGACAGAATTTTAGACTGGATTTAAAGGGACTCAGTGGTTCGTCCAGTTCCCTGGAAGTTTGTTCCAGATTTGTGGCGCATAGACGCTGAGTGCTGCTTCTCCATGTTTGGTTCTGGTTCTGAGGATGCAGAATGGACCAGAACCAGTTTGATTACTGCAAACTATTTGAAAAGAAACCCATTCATCAGTTTGATGTTGCGTCACAACTTTGTATTGGTTTGGAACATCACACCTCAAAGAAAAGCAATTAGGTTTGTGGTTGTAACATTATACGGGATGGTAATATTTTTGTAAAGGATGTTGGCTATTATCTCTTTAGTGACATGCATGTTTGTGTTCTTCTAGTGTTTTTGTAAGGTGTTTCAAGGAAACTCTGCTTGCTGGTTACCTGCAGCGATGGAAGCCAGACGAACGTAGTCGGAGCCCCTCTCCTCTGGCTCATAGGGGTAGCTCTCCACCAGACTCAGTCCTGGCAAAGGCAAGAAAAGCAATTGAATATCAAAGTTGCAGCAACAGTTTACATTGTTTCCTATTTCATTGGTCTTCTGTGGTAAATTCTAATTGAACTTTGTCTTTTTGTCGTCTAAAGCCTTAAGACGGTCCTCTCAGTAATATTTACACTTGGCCTTGTTGTATTCAGCTTCTGTAATCCGGTATCAACTTTTGAGTCAGATATTGATAAATTTGACCCACTCCTTTGTTATTGATACATTTGTTGGCTTCTATATGTTTTAGCATGAGCGGCTCAATAGTGAAGGAGGCCTGGTGCCTGTATCCAGCAAACATTGGCTGAGAGACGGAGGTCACCCAAAACAGTTCACATAATCAAATTTAACGTGAAATTCCTTTTTTTACCCACAGAAATGAGCTAATATTTGATTGGTCATATTGAGACAATCAAAAATCAGTTATCAGCCAGAGATACACAACCCTATGGGCTGATGCTTATCACCCTTAATCCCCCTTTATCACATTTGCCTTGTTGTTCACTTTAAACAAAATGAAAACGTTGCTCATGGTGGACTTTTGATCCCAGTTTTTGTCAGTATTGTGTTGTGAATAAGTGTTTTTACTAGATGGGAAGCAATATCCCACACAGGGATATTAGACCAGGACGCTTCATTTTTCACTCAGGACTTTGCAGTGGATTTTAACTTTACTTCCCTGACCAAATAGATCTCGAATGGCTGGAAAGATTTATCAGAGAAAACGTATCTAAAAATAGAATATATATATATCTATATATCTATATCTATACATATATAGATATAGATATATATATACCAATCTTTTGCAGTGCAGCCGAGTACTTGCTGCAGACTTGCTGTCTGTGCTGATGCTTTCTTTTGACAAGAGTTTCTTCTAGGCTGCCCCCTCTAGCAGTAATACTGTCTTGTAAAATAAAATGGCTGTGAATTTCTACAGCTGTCTGGATGTAAAATAAAGGATCCGTGGTATATAAAGTTTGTGCTTGTAAAGCAGCGTAGGAGTGAGCGATTCGGACTTTTTGGAATTTTAGGGAAATATTTCCAGTACTACTGTACTGCAAAAAGCAGTACAATTTTGCACTACTTTATAATTGTACTGTGCTTTACAGTACAATTGACGAGGTTCAAATGAATTGTTTTTATGAGGATAAAAATGACAGTAAAAAAAAAGAAACTTTTTAAGAAACTGTATGGGTTCAATGTTTTGAAAAACATTCTCATCTAAAATAAAGCTTCTTCAGGACACCGCTTACTTAAAGAAGGGAGATTTACATCACTAAACGTCACTGCATTTAATCATATTTTTGACTTCACCAAAACCTATTGATGCTCTTGTGAAACAGTGGAGAAAAAAGTAAAAATAAGTTTTAGACAAGTCTTTCTTTAAAAAAAAAATTAAACAAAATAATTAAAATTTATCAACGACAAATCAAAATTATTACAAAACTTTTTTATGATGATGATGAACAATACAATAAATATCCAGTTGGTAAATTTACCTTCAACCCAAATGTAACTGTACACATTTGTTTTCAGCAAAGATATGATGAATTAAAATGTTAGGAATTAAACTCAAATTTAAGTTTAGGTGATGAACTATGAACATTACACAGTTCACTAGCTCTTGCTAAAAGTGATGTGGTACAAAACTGTATAAAAGCAGGGATTCAGCAGATTTTGACAAATTCACATTAAGTGAATGGAACTTAATGGTGACAGAAAAACACAAGAGAAAAACCGAATGTCTTGGCAACAGAAGTGAACCAGCAACATGGATGAATTTACACCATGATAAATTCAAAAAAGCCAGCCAGCTAGCTAAACAGCAAGGGTGCTAGCAGCTAGTTACAGGTAGCCGTGTGAGAACACAGTGACTTGAACTTTAGCTGGAGCAAAAAGTCTGTAATATTATAAAAAGAATGTAATATTAGTCCTGACAGGAGAAAATTTAAGACATGTCATCAACATATTTAAGGACAACTTACATCTCTAAAATGAATTTAAGACTTTCTAAGGCCTTAATTTTTGAGACAGGAATTTCAAAAGTGTTTAAACGTGCGCGCGGACACGCCCTGCGACACATTTCCGCCGCCGCGCCGCTCCGGTTTGAACCGGGCCTGGCTGACGCGCACCTCAAACGCTTCCGTTTCATCTGCGCGTCTCGGTGTTGTGACTTCGCATTTGCATTCGCCTTCCACAAAACACCCCGGCGCTGTCATCGCCGTGCCTCTGCTGCACTCGCTTTCTTACGTGATGAAAGCAAAACTCCCCGCTAAATGCCTCCGCTTGAATGTCAGGACCTGACAAATAATGGGGCTTCGGCAATGATCAGAGAAGAGCACAAAAGTGATCAAATATAATGTGTGTGGGTGGAATACAAGGAATCGGGGCCCCTGTTTTTGTTGTTTTTTTTTTTTACCTATTTTTTTTGACATAATAATTGTTCTTTTCGCTCTCAGCCCGGATTCTGCGTGGAGGCGGGCGCCTCGTTCATGCGCGGCGGCCGGCAACACGCAGCATGTTGCGCACTGCTAATCTCACCGTGCAGCACCGACTGGTGAAGGCTCCAGTAAATGCTCAGGCAGTTCTTCTCTCTTCATCCCCCGCTTGCACTGGCAGCCGTGCAGAGGGGTGGACAGCAGCGCCGTCATGGCGTTCTCGCACTGGCTCCGCGCCCCAGGCCCCAGCTTCATGGTGCCGTCTCCCGCCACGCACTGCCTGAGGGTGCGCAGGCGTGGGCTGCAGGTGTCATCGCTGGAGCAGGTGTCTCCGGCGTGCAGGCAGTCCCTCCCGCCTGCGGAGAGAACCGCGTGTGGGACTCCTGGAAGACAGCGGAGGACAAGTCAGATGTTATTTCCCTTGGACTTTTTGCACATTTGACCCCTTTGCAATCACAAACTTTATCAGGATTGAGGCTGATAGACCAGGAACAAGCAGTAAAATGGAAGAGAAAGGATAAATGATTCAATATTTTACTGGTGGTTGGTAGGCAAAGTAAGCAAGTGGGATCCAGAAGTTAATCAGACTGCAACAAGCGCAGCACACTGCATGGACACACGACTTTACAGGATCCTGTCAATCACACACAGCAGGTGATTTGCACTTGACTCACCCTGTGGTTGCAACAAGCAACAAGACAGAAACTTAAGATAATAAACTTAAGTTGTTGTTTTTTTTTCAGTAAATAAGTAAAATCTTAACTAAAACTATATGTCAGGAATCAGGCTTAGACATGTCTACGGGCCCGGCTCTGGTCGGGTTGGACTTTTTAGTCTGAACTCCAGTCAGTCAGCCCTCTCTTTCTGCAGAGCATAACAGGAAGGTGGTAGATTTTTAGACGCTCGTGGAGGTAAATAGGATTGTTTCATCATGTATGTATTAGCTGTTTGTCGATGGAAGTCAGATCCAACGTGCCGTCTTGCCGATCTATTATCAGTCCCCTAAGAAAAACTGTCGACGTGTCACTCTCTTGATGAGCAAAGCTGAGAGAGAGAGAGAGAGAGACATACTGCAAATGAAAATAAAGGAAGAAAAAAAAACTCAGGGAGAGTGAATCGTTTTGCAAAGAACCGACTAAGTTTACAGGTCTGAGGTTTTGGCTAATTAGGAGTTGTGTGGGCGCTGCAGTCAAAGATCTCCGATTCAGACAGGCTGATGTCTCAGAAGCTCAGTAAAAAGGGAATTCTGGCAGAGAATGCAGTTTTTCTCAATATGAAAAAATAAATAAATTACAGAAGTCATCAGAGGAATAATTTTGCTCATCACAAGTTGTGACAGTTTTTTGTGTGTTTTGCAGACTAATGAGCCTTTCCTGTAATTAGTAGTTTTACTAATTGGTAATTCAAACAGCTGGAATAAAACGGCCTTAAACTAATTTTAAACTAAACCAGCTTCATTATTTTCAGCGTTGTTCACACAAAGTAAACAAGCCGGGCTTCTGAACCGGATTCACAGTTTATGACATTGCCTGTCAGTTGTGATCAAACAGTCGCTGCAACATCTCATTGCCGCAATCGAGCAATTAAATCTCCACTGATAGGGGGAGAAAAGGAAGGGAAACGTGGAGGCTGGTAAACAGAGAAGGGCTGATGATATGCATGAGTTACTACAGTTGTCACATAAAATACATTTGACACCACTGACTGGAATCTGATGAAACCTGGGGGGTGAGTAAGTGGGGCGGGGAGGGCAATAACACGTCTTTACAATCCGGCCTGACATTCTGAAAATTACACTGTATTGTTTGAGCCTCAGCCGAAGCAAGGCGTCACATTTGTTTGAGAGTGGCCCTGGGAGACGGTTGCATCACATCCTATTCAGCGCCGTCCAAATTCATGAGGCACTAATTATATGCAAGGACAGCTAAGTGTTTGTGTTTTCTCAGATACACAAACAATTTCCGCTCTTACAAATGGTGGCAAGTTGTTGCTTTTTTCCACTCATCGAGGAGTCTGATCTCAAGACAAAACTTGCACTGAAGATGAGAAGCGTTGTGTCAATTGACTTGAAAGTGCACCTGATTTATATTTGTCTGCAAAAAAAAATCACGCGTGGATTATTTATTATTTTCTGGAGAAGCTCATGCATTAATCCTTGTCTCAGTTCTGTGGTTATTTCTGTTGCGTCCGCAAAAAGAGAAACGCAATTAAAATCACACGCAACATCGTTAAAAAAAACCTCATCCTCCAAACACTTCCTGTAGTTTTCAATAACCGTGTGTTACTGCTAGAAGAAAGGACAGTCACAGAACAAGCGAGATGCGAAGGAAGTGTTTTGTTAACGCCTGACATAGCCGATTTATAATGTGGAATCTTTTTATAGAAAAACTTGAGTTTTTGTTTTGTTTTTTAATTTTCCCGTTTCATTTTTTCAAATCTATTTCTGTTATTCCTATTTGCGTAACTATACAGTCAGTGGAAACGCGGCTACTGTTAGTTAACTACATCCCCTTGTGAAAAAGAGAAAAAATGCTGGCTGGCGATTTGTTGACTCTACATGACTGACGAGCAGATGCACTTTGAGTTCCGGTGAATGTGTTTTGTCTCTGGGAATATTGAAGCAAGTCATCTACAAAGAACTTGCTTTGGGATCAAATGGGTCTTTCGAATGGACAATAAACCCAAACATAGAACCAAATTAGTTAGAAAATGTTTTATCCTACTCAAAGTCCATGTTTTAGACGATGTACATGCACAAGACAGTGTACAGTCTGAATCAATCACAGCAGTTTCTTTTAAAGAGTTTGAAAGACAATTCACTTTGACTTTTTTTGCAGACTTCCCCATCTTAAGAAAATTCTCCCATTCTGAGTTAGAAAATCTAAAGTTTTGCTGATTCTGACGTTAACCGGCAGGCGTCCTCTCTCTTTGTCAATGAATTTTAAAAAAAGCCTACATGTGTTTTCATACAGAGCATGTAAATATCTGGTTTTGCCCTCACTGGGAACCAAGCCTCCAGGAATTGTTGGTGTGTCTGTGTGCCTCCCCCACATCACATGGTTCTGGGCAAACCCCTGGAAAAAAACATCAAAGCCCTTAACAAGATTCAAAATCAATACTTCCCAAGCAGCAAGCGAGTCGTATTCCAATAGCAGACGCCCCGCCAGGCTCCCCGATAGGACCAACATCAAAACAAAATAAGATTTCAACGTTTCTTCTCAAACCCTCCATAACAAATGGGGACCAAGTGTAATTATGTTCTCTGCATGGATGTCCTGTCTCAAAGCTAAGATTCATATTCGCAATGACTCCTTGTCCTTGCTGGACAAAAACATGACCAAAAAAAAAAAAAACAACAACTCGGCATAGCAGCCGGAAACGAACTCCAGCAGAGATGAAGACGGTCATCTGTGGAACTTCTTCCATCATTCAACCGAACTGGAACAAGAAAATGAGTCTTTATTACAACGTCATGTAAGTTCACTGAATACAGCCACCATCTGTTCAGGATGAAGAAACCTGAAGTGATTTTGAGTACTTATATCAACAGAGATAGTTACTTTGATGTAAACCTCTCAAGACAGCAGTTTTTGTTTTTTTCATCGTTTAATATAATTATTATCTGAGTAAAAATTCAATGCATACAGCGCTGTGCAAACAACAGCAAGCCAACAACGTTTCCCAAAACACTTTCAGATGTGACTGCTGCCAGAAACTGCTCTACAAAACGACGATAAAAAATGTCAGTAATAATGCAGAGTTAAACAGTAAAAGGCAATATGTATTCACTTCACTGCTGCTTTTTAGGAACTTGGGCTGCATTAAAAAAAGAAAAGCAGTTTTCAAACCGACGGTGTTTTTGGAAGTTGAATGGAGAAAGACGTTGAATCTGCTGCAGTTGTCCTGCCAGACCACTGCATGGCGCTGTGATTTTAGCATGCCATCAAAACGCACACACGATTTTAACCCTTAACAATGTAATCACAATATAAATAATCAGAAATTAAAAATTCAAAAAAAGATTTGAATTTTGATTGATGTTTTGTTTTCTTCAAAACAAAACATTGTCACCCTCCCTAGAGAAGATTTTAATCTGAGTGACAAGGCAACAATGCCTGGTTTATTGATGTGTAAATTGCTGTTGATTGGTAAAATATTTACAAATTTTCATTATCATTCTTATGATCATTTCTTTAGATTTTTGTGATATAATTTTTGTAAACGTTAAACAAAAATCGAGTCATTAAATTCCTATTTCTTGAGGATTTGTGTTACTAAAGTCCTCATGGTCAACATTAGCAATGTTTCCAGCAACATTCTTACTGTGTATTTCTAATGGTTAATGAAAATTGCAAAGTCTTAAACATTATTAGTCTCACAGCGTTTTTTCACTCACTTCAGGTGGTTTGTGGCTTTTCTGAAATAGAGTTAATACGCCACAGGGGAAATAGCAATTCATTTACAGAAAAAGTACTGAGGGAGCAATGCTCCATCGTCCATTCCTTACCAGAGGCACAAAACCCGGAAAAATGTTGGTCTAAACAACTGTAATGAAGAGAGGTACTCTAAATTTTTCTGTGGTCCAATCTGGTTTGAAACTTCTGCATCTCGTTTGCGTAGAGTCAACATCCGACAAAAACCAGGCTTAGCGTAGCCTGGTTGATTTGCCCCAAGCCAGTAGATAGAAACGCACCTTATTTGCATTTTCTGTATTTTTGCAGCATTTAAAAGTTCACTGGAACATCATATCACAATTGGATGGAAACATAATAATTGATATCTTTTATTCAGCTCTTTGAATACATAAATTGATAAAGTCATCAGAATAACGGAGTTTCGATGAGGTTCCACACACACAACTCATACAACAAAGACAATGAAACATGTTTTCTTCTGGTTCAGGGTTTATTACTAAGGATCATCGTTGGCACAAAAACAAAATAACTTCTTGTGCTAAGTTTCTACTCGTACCTGACGCTGCCTGCGCTTTTCGGAGACCTTTCCAAGGAGTCTCCTACTCTAGACTTGCGCTGTCAATAAAACTCTTGACAGACAACGAAGTGAGATGCTTGTGTTGAGATATATTATTTTTTCTGTATGTTTTGTTGATGCTGCTCCCAGAAAGCACCTGCCATTCATTTGAAAAGCTCACTTTTGGTGAGCTCTTGACAGGAAGCGCCGATTGTTCTTCACCTCCTCCCCCCCCTTCCAGAACCCACCATCTCTGTACCTATAGCAGCTCCTTTTGTTTATTTTTTATTTTTTGCAAAGCTCACGAAACTGCAAAGTGACATAATGTCATTTGTTTGTGATGCAAATCAGCTTCAGTGTTGCTGTTTTTTTTCTCCTGTGGTTTGAGAGATCACAGCTTTAGAACCTGTTT